ACCAGGAAAACCATCTAAAAAATCAATTGAAAAGTCCTAAAACTTGCGGATTCTCCAACTACCTCTATTAGTCAATCTTACCTTAAAGTCTTGAGAAATTTTGAATATCTGAATCCGTTCTGCAAGAAAACTTCTAAACGTGGCTCTCCGATGGCAACTACTTCTTTTCTTCGACTCCTCTTTTTTCTCCTTCTCAGCCCCCTCCCATCTCTCTCCGCCACCTCCCCCTACCTGTCCCCCACCACCTTTTTCAGGAATTATGAAAAGATGCTCTCAACTTTCAAGGTTTTCATTTACGCCCCGCAAAAACCGTTCGATTTTACAACCCCGCCCTCCTCCTCCTTCCACGACGCACTCCTTCACAGCCCGTTTCTGACCACCGACCCTGAAGAAGCTCACCTCTTCTTCGTACCCTTTGCTCATAATATCTCAACGCGCGCTCTGGCGCGTTTGGTTCGAGAGCTCAGGGGAGCTTTTCCGTACTGGAACCGGACCCTCGGAGCTGACCATTTCTTCATCCACCCCACCGGAATTGACTTCTCCGCCGACCGGAATATTCTCGAGCTGAAAAAGAATTCCGTGCAAATCTCTACTTTCCCGACAATTTCCGGCCGCTTTATACCCCACAAGGACCTCACGCTCCCGCCGGCGATCCATCACCGGGATCACGCACTCGCCGGAGCGCCGGGGAACAGAACGGCGCCGTTTCTCGGGTATATGAAATTGGACGGAAAGACAGAGCTGGGCATGGTAAAAGAGTTAAAACTGGATGGCGAGTTCTTGATCGAATCTCAGCCGTTGGATCATCTGGGTAATATCAAGAGCAGTAAATTCTGCCTCTTTTTTCACGGCGGTGACGTGTCATGGCTTGGGGAGGCGATGGCTTGGGGCTGCGTGCCGGTGGTGATTGTGGATCGTCCGATTCAGGACTTGCCATTGATGGGCGTGTTGAATTGGTCGGAGATGACGTTTTTGGTGGGGTCCTCCGGCGGGGCCACCGGATTGAAGGAACTGCTACGTGGCGTGGCAGAGGAAGATTACCAGAGAATGAGCAGATCGTGTGCTGCGGCGGCACAGCATTTGGCGTGGAACGCGGAATTGAAGCCGTACGATGCATTCCACATGGTTATGTATCAGCTCTGGTTGAGACGACACGCCGTTAGATACGCGAGGAGAGAAGAAAAGAGCTTGTGTTGGAAACATATTTTAGTTAAATAGTTACTGAAAAAAATGGATATTGCTAATCCTTATCTTAAGGATATCTGTTAATAATAAAGAGAAGCTTATTTATCTGGGATCAATGATTATAACTCTATTTTCTCCCATATCTCTAATAAAAACTTTATTACGGAGTATTATTATTTAGAGGCTGTTTGGAACTACAGTTTTTCGGCTTATCAGGCTTATCAACCAACTTTTTCATCATACACTTAACTTTTGTTTTCGCGCGCTGAATTGTGTAATAAGCAGAAAAAGTAAGAATGTAGTTACTTTTCTGGCTGTTTGGACTGAAGTTATTGTAGATGACCATTTTAGCTATTTTTACATATAATTTTTTCTTTATTTTATCAATAAAATATATTTTAAAAATACTTTTTTCCTTAAATCAACAGAATCAGCCAATGCAGTCACTTCAGTCAGAACTTCATAAATTTCAGTAGAATTACTCGATTTTCGTGCTACCAAATGGACTCTTAATAATGCTTCCAGAACTGCAATCAGCAAGATTCATTACAATTTGACTTTTTCCCGTACCATGTGATGGTTAAGGAATACGGAGTATGAAATTTAGAGAGAAAATCCCTTTCAATCTCATCCCATTTATCTAAGACCAGAGTCCATAAAAAAAATTAGCAAATTTTGTTATTTTCAGATTAAGAAATGCACAAAAGTATTAGGTTGTTTTTAATTGGATTGAATTTTTTTGTTGTCTGATTTGTGTAAGTTTTGTTTTATGGGAATTGATTTGATACGATCTAGTAATCATTTGATCTATTCTATTTGAAATCAATTGGTCTGGGACAACCCAACCCTAGTGCTGTTATGATCTTCTAAAGTTTCTAAACTCTTATACTTACTACTCCCTACTCCCTCCGTCCCGCAAAATAGTTTCCCATTCCTTTTTGGACCATCTCAAAAAAATAGTTCTCATTTCTCTTTTTGAAAAGTTTTTTATAACGATCATTCATTTATCTTTTTCTTTCTCAATCACAACTACACATTTCCACTTTACTTTCACTCTCTTAAACTCCGATCCAAGTCAATGCGAGAACTATTTGATGGGACGGAGGGAGTATATCTTAAATCCAAGTCCATTGAGTTTTTAAAAAATATAAGATCGTCAAAGTTTAATACCCTAGAATTGATTGATCCAGGATCGAAAACGGCTTCGATACCACCTGGTGCAAGCTTCTCAAGAGCAGAAAAGATAACCAAAGTACCAAGAGTGTAGACGATTAACCAAAGTACCACAAAAACTAACCATAACCACCAAAGTCCTATTAAATGCTTCATCTAGTAGACTAGTTAGTATATTGTCCATGCAACATTGCAACCCCAAGCTAGGGGTGGATCAGACCTGGTTACAGGCTAGTCCAACCCTGAGCTAACCGGTCAGATAATTTATATAGACACCCATGAACAGGACCTATAAAATTATGGACCGGTTCCAATCTAGGCAGTCTGATCCAATACCGTTCATGGCTGCTTCACGATGGACATGATGAATAAAATTAAAAAAAATGAAATGGTTAACAGACCATACCGACCAGTCCAGACTAGGAGTGGGCATAAAAAACCATAACCGGCATACCGAAGAAAAAATCAAAAAACCGGCATTTTTTTTGTTAACCGTACCGAATTTCTAAAAAAACTCGGTACGGTTAACCTACCGAAGGAAAAAGCGGTACACGGTATGGTTACAGTTTTAAAATTATCCTAGGTTGGTTAACCGATAACCAATACGGATTATGTGTTTTGTATACTCTGCAGTCCGCAAGTGGCCATAATTCGTAATTGCAATACATTACTACACCGCAGTCCGCAGGTTGGTTATTCATCGACGGAAAACATAGTATAGAGTATATTTTAAGTAAATACGGAGTAAAATAAGGCTACGTAAGACACTTCATATAGCTAGTTATAATGGGTGTAATAATTACATACATTTCATAATTATTTCTTCTCATTTATTAAGAAAAAGATGCTTTGAATTTCAAATAGTCATGGACCCGGGCCGGGCCGGTTGGTTCCGGGCCGGGCCCGGCCGGGCTTTTTTTTTGGGAAGGAATGCCCGGGACCGGCCCGGGTAGCCACCGGGTCCGGTCTGGGTCCGGGCCGGGCCGGGCCGGGCCTCCGGTTCGGTTATAATTTTTTTTTTTTTTTTTTTTTTTTTTTTTTTTTGCTTTCCTAACCCCCCCACTCACCCCCCAACCCCCAAACCCCTCCTAACCATCAAGCCCAACCCAACTAACCCCAAAAAATGAAAAATAAAAAAATAAAAAAAAAATCAATTCGGCCCGGGCCCGGGCCCGACCCGGCCGGGCCGGTTCGCCAAATACTAGGCCCGAGCCCGGACCCGCCCCCCCACCGGGCCTAGGCCCGACCCGGACCCGGACCCGGACCCGAGAACCGGGCCGGTTCCAGGCCCGCACAGTGGCGGGCCGGGCCGGTCCCGGGCCGGGCGGCCCGAACCGGGTCCATGCCTAATTTCAAATACTCATAAAAAAAATCAAATACTACGCTATGTTTAAAAAACCGACCCGACCCAGCCGGGTTGACCCGGAACCCGGTGACCCGGACAAAAATCCGGTTTGGTTTCTTCAAAACCCGAAAATGGTCAAAAATCGGAAAAAACCCGGCTGACCCGAAAAAATCCGATCCAGACCCGACCCAAGAGACCCGAAAAACCCAGGAAAACCTGGTTTTCGGTCTTTTCCAAAAAAAAAGTAATTTCTTTTTTAATTTTAATGCATTTTTTAAACCAATAAAATTGCAATTTCAATTCCCTAAAAAGAAAAATTATGTTATACATTTATATATTTATTTAAGAATGAAAATCATGCCAAATTATAATATAAATGTACAATACAAATAAAAATATATAATGAGAGTGTATATAATTATATGTTTATTATTATTATTATATAGACGTATAATCGTTGACCGGTTTTCCGGATTTGACCGGGTTGACCCTCCGGGTCCGGATTGACCCGTGACCCAGTCACATGATCAGGTCGCTCACCGCTCCGGTTTTTACAACATAGATACTACGTATATAATTACGTATATAATTATATAAATATATTAGTTCGATCCTCATGCTGAAAAGCTATAATAAGTATCTCATACTCCGTAATCCGTATCTTCAATATACATTTACATTGATGGAACAACTATTTTATTAATTTGGCAGTTTAATTCATTTCTTATTTATTTCACGGTTATTTGGTTAACCGTTAGTGGTTAACCGAAATTTTGGTTAACCAATACCCGGTTAACCGTCATAATGGTACAGATAGTTGTATTGAAAATATATTAACCGAACTATTGGTTAACCGGAAGTTGGTTAACCGAAAGGCGGTTAACCAACCGTGCCCCAGACCATCCTCAAAACATCTGGAACTATCTGGACCAGAGATCCTAAGCCCTCCCCTGATTCCAGTTAAAAATCGCCTTATTCCGATTGGGACTGGTCTCAACAGGTTGGCTCCCATCCAGCCAGTACACTCCATTCCCAAGCCTCAACCTTCCTTTTGGACTGATATGTATTTGATGTATATCTCCCTACCCTGCTTAAAAATGTTGTCGGACCCTATTTACATTCTAGTATTCTACCAATTTCCATGGGGTATCATACTCCAAGTCTCCCCCACACAGGTCCATGGGATGGCGAGCCCTAAAGCCACCTTTCACAAAGACGCAATGAAAGGCTAATTAGCTAATATCTATCGAATTTGTAAAACTAAAGATATACACACTGTCGCATTCTATATTTCTATTTAAGATTAATAATATTAAAACTCAAAGCTTATTTACAAACATCCGTAGTCATTAAACATTGCAGTTGAATGAAGTGAATTGGTGACTAAAAACAAAGTAGATTTATTTGCTAAGCCTAGCTAATTAACTCATGTTCGCCCATATTCTGTATATACGAATAGGTAGAAATGTTTATTGACGATGATAACTAAATTACATTCGGAAAAAGCTTTAATAACGCTAAGATAAATTACAAGGCACACCCGATTTATGGACTTCTGGGCAAAGCATAAGCATCTCTAGATGTAAAAAAATGAAAAAACAAGCCTCTCCACATGGTTAAACATCAAAACTTAACTCAGTAGTTCCTTGTGAGTATAGACAACTTCTTTATCTCCGTTCACTACGTGCCCATTTCCTCTTGCAATCCTGCCCATATGCACATACCATTTCAATTTTTGACATACGTCACCAACTTTTATATATGCAACTAGGATATCATTCTCCTATCTAAAAAGGAGTATATTCTAAATACTTGTTTTTATGCATCATATATAAAAATTAATAGGTTCTATAGGATTCTATGTAGCCGATGTATATGATGCAGTAATGAAAAATTATACTGCAGACCTATTCATTTCAACTGAAATTTTATAGTGTGATCTAATCTTCACAAGGGTTGCATGGGCTGTTTAAGTTTAATACAATACGTTTAAGTGTGGTCTAGTCTAATATGAGATTATATAAGGCGAACTAACTTGATGCTTTATCTTTTCCAACAAAGAGAAATACCTATGATGCTGAATTTAGTATTATTGTATGGTACTTATGGAGTGATATAAAAGCATACCATCGTGTAGTTAACAATCCTTCTACTCCTACAGGACCACGTGCGTGAATCCTGCTTGTACTTATCCCCACCTGTTTTGCACAAACAAATGGAACAGCTTATTATACTCATACAGCTCAAATGTAATGAATGGTTTGATTATTTTTTACATAAGCTTCAAATATCTACCTCTGCACCAAGTCCAAAGCGAAATCCATCACTAAATCTTGTGCTGGCATTATGAAATACAGCAGCACTAAAGAAGAAAAAATTATTATATAAAGGAAAAACAAATACTGTATTCTTTAGTGGAATTGATGATAAAAATAAAACATTTACTGTAAAGTAGAAAAAAACACAGTGTAGAATCTGTAGATACCTGTCAACTTGATGTAAAAACACTTCGGCAACTTCATTGTCTTCAGTGATGATGCAATCAGTATGAGCACTGCCAGTACATAAATGAGAGATTCAAATAAATACAAAAACTTATAGTCTTGCAAAGTTAAACCGCAAGATTTGTCATTTTTCAAGATTAAAGCTACTCACACTCTTAAAAACTAGTCATTTTTAACAAGTAAAATATTTTATATTTTTAGTCAACTCAATTATGATACAAGCGTTTACAAGTTGTGAAAAGTCAGTTGTATGTCTCTAAAATCAATTCCAATATAGTTTGGAAAATTGCAAAAAACCATTACCCCGTCGCTTTATAAATTTCATTAACAAATTGTGTTGACTTTTAAAGCAAGTTTATTTTTCAAGACGGATTTTTTAAATAAGGCTCTTTTGGAGGCAGGAAACAATATTTCCAGGCTTGGAAAGTAGAGGCTATCACTTGAGAATACAGAGCATTTTGAAAAGTTATACGAACAGTTATTTTTGATAGTTTTCTTTTTTAAAGTTCTGTGCATAAAAGTAAAAGGCCTCAAGGTTATCTAGCATGTATATGCAGTTACTAAGTACAAAAATCTAAAAAATGAGAAGCATACCTTCCATGCTGATGTATATGATCAATTGCATCGTACACATCATTAACAATTTCAACAGTGCAAGCCAGAGAACTATATTCATGATGTAATGAATCAGCCTCTGGAATATTCAGCAGAGAGCTCGCCTCTGGTCCTCCATATATAGTAACCCCTGAAACACCAAGCAAATTGTATTGTTCAAAGCTTATCTACACTAACACAGAATGATTTCATAAACGATACTTGAAGTGCAAAGTCTTTAGGGATATGAGCCAATTGATAAGGTATGGGAGTTGGATATCACATGTTCAAAGCAATGGATTATAGTTATAGGGTTTAATAACCCTTAAGGGTCTCCCGTCTTAATAACTGGCTTTTGAGGTGTGGTTCTTATTTAGTAGTTGATATCGGTTGTTTACTGGATTTGAGTAGTTTGAGTGTAGAACATAATGATTTAGACCTGATTTAACATAGAGCCACATGGTCTGATAAAGGTTTGCGAGATGCGTAGCCATTAGATCATTTTGGGCAACCCAGTTTGGGTCTGTTTAGGCCCTCATTTGTCGACCCCTTAACTTGTCCAACCCAGTTTGATCCGAGGAGAGTGTTTTAAGCATTTGTATGGGAGTATAATTTAGTATTAAGTGTTAAGTAAATCTAAAATGATTTTGAAGAGCCCATGTGGATACTCTTGTCCGTACAGAACCATATTATGTCACGCGGAATGGGTCACATGTGAATTTAATAAGGCCACGTGACTTCTTTCCACATGTGGTAATGTGCTCACATTACAGTATGCCCCATAAGGCCTCCTTGGAAGTAATCAATAAACCACACCTCTTTTAATGATTATTTTAAAGTGAATTAAACTCACGTTAACAGTTTTCTTATAGGTTGTTACACAATACGCTCATATTAGATAGTTGTTATATCATTGTTTATTACAAGAATGATATAGTAAAATCGACATGCAAATCATAATGAGGTAGTATTTCTAGAAAATTATAATTATGAGCTGCTAAAGACATTGCACCTTTAATCTGAAGTTCCATGATTAGGTCATTAAGGCCGCCTTTCTTCACCAAGTCAGTGTGCACAAGAAGCGTTTCCTAATTAAGGAAATCAAGAAGTGTTATTGATTCCACAAAAGCCCACTTGCATTGATGTACCAGCAATGGTGGAAACATCTTAAAGCAAAATAATTACCATTGCATTGCATGCTGCAGGATAATCAGTTTTTGCATCCAACACAATGCGCTTTGCTATATCTAAGTCGGCAGACTTATCAACATAAACATGACATATTCCATCTGCAAGATAAATGCAAAGATTCACCAACAAAGAATACCATGCATAACAGAACTCTAATCCAGAGTTCACCATTATTGGTTAATTACCAGCATGACCAAGAACTGGAATTTTAGTCGAAGCCTTGATTTGGGAAACCAGTTTATTGCTGCCTCTTGGGATAACAAGATCAATTACATGATCAAGCTGCATAAGATATAAAAAGTTAAAGCCAGTTTATGCCTCATTAAGGTGACAAAGATGCTAGCAAATAGGATTTGAATTAATAACAAATTAAATTGTATTTCAATTGTCAAGGGTAATGCACCTTGAGCAATTCAGGGATCTCTTCTCTAGAAGTAACAAGTCCAATAAGTCTTTCACCAACATTTTCGGGAATAGCTGAGGTAACAACCTGATGATAAACATGAATAGGTGACAGACAGAAGTGGGATTTTAGTTATTTTAAAGGCCTAAGGAGAATACACTATGGAAAACAAATGTGGAGGTGAATATGCATATTTGTACACAAACCTTGTGCAAAATTGCATTTGATCGTTTGGCCTCTTTTCCACCTTTCAGTAAGAGCCCATTCCCACTCCTTATTGCTAGTGAAGCAATCTATTTAGAGAGAAAAGTCAAGCACATAACTCTTATCTCAAATTTTGTAATTCCACTTGCATAAATCAGCCCCCCTTTTGGGGTTGGATAAATGCACACATTTATGAACCCAAAGAAAAAATCATCTGAATGAATTTAAATGAACACAGTTTTGCATCAATGAAGACTCGAATAATGGCAAAAAAAGAAACTAATTTACATTGAAGAAAAGAAGCACATGGAGAAATCATGACATAAAAATATCCCTTTGTCTTATTTATACCTGAACAAGTGCATCCGGACGTGACTCAAAGATAATCAAAAGAACACCCAGCGGAGATGATGTCTTTTCTAAAATAAAGCCATCAGCAATCTGTATTAAAAAACGAACTGTATAATGGGTTGCTCATATATCATTCATAAAACAGTATTGGAAGGAGGAACACCAGGGCACAAAGTTTTCTGTTTCTTAAATAGGATGTATATCATTTACTTGCCTCTATTTTCTTTAAAATGCGACCAATTGGCTCATCCATCTCTGCTAGCACACGAACTGACTTTGCAAGACTTGAGATCTATTAAAACATGGACTAATAATAAACCACAAGAAATAGCTAGAAAAAAAAACAAAGCATAACTGAGAAATGACATACTTTTTCTGGCTTTAGGGCCAACCGGGATACCAAAGAATTGTCATAACCAGCTTGTTGAGCATCAGATACATCTGCTTCATTCTCACTAAGTATGACTTTTTCATTTGCTTCCAGTGCATCAGCTATATCCAACAAAATCTTACTCCTTTCTTGTGGAGCAAGTGCCTACAGAAGAAACAACAAATGAGCAGTTAGCCATGTTCAAGTACTTACACCTTGCTTGGATGGAAGATATTGGAGGGATTATGGTGGTTTTGGAGGGATTAGTCCATTCCATGATAAAACTTTTAGATCAAAACTACTTCCTAACTCTTAATAAAGTACAGCTTTTATATTTTTGTCATGATTACAAATTTGAGATTTAATGAAGTTGAAAGATTATCACAAGATGCAATGCTATAACATTTTTATCTCCTCTTTTTTCTTTTTAAAAAACATCCTACTTATTAAGATATGACTCAGCCCTCCAAAACCTTTCATCCAAACAGACCCTTATGCCACAAGACAGCACAGAGGATACCTGAAGCCGCCTGGAACACTCCCTGGCTGCAACAGCCATCTCACATGCACCGACATCTACAGCTGGATCCAACTTGTTAGCTTCACGATGAAAGAGAGTACCGATGCGTTCCCCATGTAGTACTTTAATAATGTTGTCAACGGCAAATCCACTATATCCACAAAGGAGAGAGCAATGAGATTACCATATTATGAAAGTAGAGTAATTATCAAGTGTTATGAAATTGGTAAAGCTGTGCAGTAATCCCTAAAAAATCCACCCCCACTCCCACCCCTTTCTCTACGCACAAGTATAAAAGAAACAGTGATCCTTGTACCACAAGAACGGAAGGCAAACCTCGTGATGACAACTGGGATTCCAGCATAAGCAGCGTAAACTGCAGCTTTTACTTTGGCAGTCATACCCCCCCTTCCCACTCTAGACTTGTCACCGAACGTAATCTCACCTTCATGCTTCTCCTTGATGTATGTATGAATCAATTTTGAGTGAGGATCACTAGGAGGGCCACTGTAAAGACCCTCTACATCACTCAATAATACCAGAAGATCAGCTTTTAGCTCTAAAGCTAGTAGAGCAGCTAGACTATCATTGTCCCAAAATATACCAGAAGAGTCCTACAGACAATTTATATATTTAGAAACACTATACAAAAAACAATACAGAAAATAAAACTTAATCTAATGAAAAGGTTTCTCAATGCTAAAGAAAATGAACGGGGAAAGAATTCAGGACCTACAAAACTAAAGTTTGATCCATACCTCATATGGAGCTTTCCGTGTACTAACAGCATCATTTTCATTAAAAATAGGTATAACTTTCAGAGATAGCAATGAATTAACTGCCTCATTAAGCTGGATCCTGAAGTTCGGGTCTCTGAAGTCATTATCCGTAACTAGAAGTTGAGCTGATGTAACATCCAACTGCATGCAAGTAATATAATAATAAGTAAGCACATAACATTTTGGCAAAGAATGATCATCATTACAACATTAGTAATGTACGTAACCGTTGGTTTTTCACCTGTGTGAATAAAGAATCATACAAAGCCATTAGCCCATTTTGTCCAACCGCTGCACAAGCCTTGCCATCAAGTTCATTTTGTGGCTTTTGAAGATCAGCAAAGCTGTATTGTGTGATAACCAATTCAACAGGATTAATAAATATGGAATATTGAGTAACTTTAAACAAAAAAAATGCATGCATTAGACTCTCCAACTATTTCCACCCAAATGTGCATGAGTATATCTGTAAGGCAAGCTTAACTAAAATTCCCTTTTCTAGTGTAAAAACTTATGCTAGTAACTAGTGAGGGCTAATGCCCTAAATCTGATCTGCATGTCATTATAAGAATGATCAGAGATATTATGTGAGAGAGAGGGAATTCCATAACCTGCTGTGAATCAATCTCCTGTATCTGAGCCGTTGACGACCAGCACCTACAGCACCTGAGGTCACTAGAATAACTTCATAACCTTCAGAATTGAGATCTTGAATCTGCACAAGATTGAAGCTAACATATGAAAATTAATGATCATACATTACACAGACTAGTAATTAGCATGATGGGTATGCCAGCAGAATATAAGGTTAAAAGAATTGCCTGTTCACATAGAGCTCCTAGCCTTCCAAGTGCTAACCTTCCATCAGCTCTAGTGACAACAGCAGTCCCAACCTTCACAACAAATAATAATTTTTTACAACCGGATCATACAAATTTAATTGCCGAGAGTATGATGCCCTGACTAAATATGAACTAACAAGCCAACCCATTTCGTATAGAATTATGAGAAATTTAGAATTATGATCACCCACATTTCACCCAACCCCTGTTCAATATTAAGATCACCCACATCCCATGTGGGTTATTGATTCCTAATGTAGGAATATTCCATATTCCCATGTATAATAAGCGAGTACTTTGGGACCAAAACTATCAAAGTTATCAGCTTTATGATTAACTTTCATCCCCAATCGTCCACGTCCGAGTGAATTAAAAAAAAAAAAAACTTAATTACAAGCATGACCACGATGCAAAGGCAACAAGAAAGAAGGAAAATTTTCAACCTTGACGACGATGCGCTTAACGTCTTTGACGAATGCCCGCGATGAGTCCACAGTGTCCATCGTACAGAGTGAGTGTTTATGTGAGCGAGAGAGCAGTAATAGCCGCTGCGAGCAGGCGGAGAATGGAGATATGCGGAGACTCGTAAAGTGTAGGGTTTTATAGGAGGTGGGAGAGTTATGATAGGAGAGTTAATCGATGAGAGTCCTCCGCCATTCTCGACAAAACAGAGCCATCGGATGGGCCAACACTAGAGCCAGCCGTAGGAGACGAGGCACGCGTCTCCTATTCCACAAAGCGTTTTCCTTTTGATCAATAAGGAGTAACCTCCTCGCCGAAGGGGTGAACATGAATTAGTGTCCTCATATCAGTTTTTATTGATTCGATTATTTTTTTAAATGAATTTGAATTATGATCAAATAAAAATCATTCTATTTTTTGGTTTGGTTCGGATTGATTTAGATCGATTTAGTTCGGTTTGTGTTTATTATTTTTTAAAGGTTTTATTGAATTCATTCAGTTCGATTCGTTTTTGTTCGATTATTGTCGGTTTTGGTCCGGTTCAATTTAATGCGGTTTGAAAGAAATGCAACCAAACTCAAACAAACTTGCGTAAAGTCCAATTTTGATTCGGTTTAGTTCGATTTGATATGCTTCCGACTTCGGTTAAACCAAACCAATATATATAGATAGTATAATATATGCCCACCCCTAATGGTCTAACGGAAACACTTACCGGCCCTGCCCTAAGGGGAGTATTTTATTTAAGTGAAACATCTAAATCTTAAGTGAAAGATGTTGAATCTTAAATTATTTACATGTTTTATTTTGATTACGTTTTATTTATTAATGTGTTTATAAATTATTTTTAATAAAATAGTTAAATTTGTTGCATGGTACAATTTCATGATCTTAGTTTTTTAATTGTTGTAATACTAGAGAATTAAATATATTCATAGTCAAAGTTGTGTATTGTCAAACATCGAATGTAGATGTTTCACTTTTTTTTTAAAAAGGTAGTACTAATATAGAGGGCGTTTACTTGTGATTTAATGAATTTCATTATAACAATAAGGAATTTATCCTTCCACCATTGAGAACATGTTTGGATTACAAAATAATAATAATCAAGTAAAGTTAGAGTTACATTTATGAGTAAATTGATTGAAGTTATTGTGGATGATCAATTCCATTTTTCTTTAATATATTAATAAAATACTACGAAACATGCTTTTTCCATAATTCAGCATATTATAACGCTTTAGTCAGATTTTCACCAATTTCAGTAGATTCAATCAATTAAACCAATTTGCCACTCTAAGTCATGTTTGCTTATAATCTAATTGAAAGCATTATTTATTTATTCAGTAAGAAACAGACATATTCATCTATGTGCAATTGGTCAGACCAAAAGAGGGAAACGAATTGTAGTCCAAATGGATAAGCCATGCCATTGAAACTCTTAGGAGGTGTTCGGTATAATTTAAAATGGACACTTTACATGTAAACTCTATAGAATAAAATACGTAACAGTTTATATTGTTTGGTTTGTTTGGTTGTTTGAATGTTTCAAAATGGTGTTAAGGTTTCATTGTGTTTCATTATTCATTCGAGATGGTTCCCTTTGATAAGGTTTGCACTTGGAAGAATGAAAGTATAATCAATTTCAAATATTCCATACTCCGTATGATTTACCATGGAATCAGATATAGAGATTACACTCCTTATTACATTTTCTTGTACATCATTTTTGTTACGTGAATGACTTCGGTTCATTAAATTGTCCCAAGAGCAAAGACAACAATAACAACAGCACTAATTATCTGAGTGCCGCAAAACAAACATCGAAGCAAATAAAAAATCAGTTCCATTTCAATGTTTGAAATTACGATTTGATTGATTAGACTTAGGATGTTTTCTTTCGAACTGAAATTTGCTGGTCTGATATGTTTTGTTCTGATCTGGTAAATGTATGATCTCTGTGTATTTTATAACTTCGGAAGTTTGGTCTAGTCTGTCTGATCTAGTCTGGTCTGGTTTGGGACTGTAAACAATCCAAAAGAAAACATCCGTGATAGGAGCTCGTGACAAGAACCTCCATGCAAAATTCGTCATTTGATGTAATTTCAGGTGGAAGTTTTCGATAAACTTTTTTGAAGAAAACATTTTGCGTAAAATATCATCGAAAACTTCTGCCGGAATATAAAACTGTGAATTCCGCACAATAGTTCTCATCAAGAGCTTCTAAAGTTGTGATATAAACTGCCCTGGCCAAAGGATGTTGTCATTTGATTTATAAAAAACATAGTAATTTCGAATAAAACAACAACGTAACGTACAACATTCAATGATTAATGACAAGATGATATGTAAAACGTTATTATTTGATGTGAGTGTTCGCTTTATTATTGTGTAATGTAATATAATTAATAAAGTAATTAACATCAATGTCCTACGCCTGAAATACTATTGTATATTGCATTCTATCAAAAAAGTTACTCGTAGTATGTTTTCTCATTCTTACGCCATCATAAACAAAGTGCAATTCCAAAGAGCGTCCCTTGCGGATGGTACAAATTAAAATAAATTGGTTTTTATACAACATATTATGACCACGATTTTTAAATCAATAAAACAAATTTATAAATGCCTACGATTGATTTCGTGAACAAATTTTTTTATAGCATTTCGTGAACTAATTTGAAAACGTGATTTTGTTGGTTTCATTTTGATTTTGCTTCTGAAGCGCTTTGGCCGGACTTGGCCTCTTTTTAACATTTTATTGCTTTTTCATTGTTAAAGCTAGAGAAATGTCTCATAATACGGAGTATTAGTATCACATATTCACAATAGGTAATATCAAGATACAAAAACAAAAACAAGCCATCTAGAAAACATAACTCATTTAGTCATTTTTTATTCTTATTTAATGTTTTAGAGGTTAATAATATATCAATTTCTTACAACTATTGGTAGTTCCAAAAATAGATATAATGTCAACCTGATAGGAGGAGGAGCCCATGTATTAAGACTCGGGTTCCATCATAAAAGGTCAACATGATAGAAGGAGTAGCTCATGTATTAATATAGCACTTTGTTCATCCAAAGTTTTCGGGTGTGGGACATTTAACACCCCTCCTCACGACCAGACACTTCGTCTGGATCGTGCCATCATTCATTTTTTTTCATCGGTCCATTTTTTTCATTCGACTGTAATTGTCATTTTTTTATAATAGTATCATCATTTTTCATAAGGGGCCCACACCATGGATCAACCTGGCTTTGATACCATGTTAAGACACGGGATTCCCTCATAAAGGTCAACCTGATAGGAAGAGTAGCCCATGTATTAATATAGCACTTTGTTCATCCAAAGTTTTCTGGTGTGGGACATTTAACAGGGGCGTTGATTATTTGTTAATAAGCATCGAGCATATTCTTAATTATAGAGCGTGTTTAGTAACTTTTGATTTCGCGCTCTGAACTATGTAATGATAAGAAACAGTAAGATTAAAATTACTTTTCTGACTGTATTGGCTGAAGTTACAGTAGATAATCATTTTAGCCATTTTTTTTACATATTTTTTCTTTTTTTATTTATTAATGAAATATATTTTTAATATAACTTTTTTATAAATCGGCAGAATCAGTCCTTTCAGTCATTTCAACAAGAATTTCATAAATTTCGACAGAATCAGCCGATCCAGTTGATTCAGGTATTACTAAACGGGCTCACAATATGCAGAGTATATTACAAATTCACAGTTATATAAAATAGAGAATAATATCTTGTAGCTATTCGATTAAAAAATGACATTATTTTTTGCATTGACCGAATACATATCTAAGATCATTCTCATCCACTGCACGTACACTTTCGACAACAATCACGTTTTCTTCTTTATAATCTTATTATATAGTTATATATACTCCCACCATATGTCTCGGAGAATAATAAATAAAAACAAACAGTGTGTTTGAGGTTTGTACAAATAATAGAGAAATAATACAAATCACATATTAATTGATTAAAAAGTAAAGGCGCAAAGTTGTTACTCCCTCCGTATCAAATTAATTGACCCGTTTGCTTTTCACGCAGTTTAAGACAATTACTGTAGACTTTATTAAAAGTAAGATGTTTTTGGTACTGTAGCGACACTGTAGCGGTACTGTAGCAGTACTGTAGCTGCTTTTTGAGAGGGATTCTTTCCAAAAAGGGAAAGGGGTCAATTAAATTGATACACCAAAAAAGGAAAGTGGGTCAAGTAATTTGATACGGAGGGAGTATGAAAAAGTGACAGTCATAACTTATAAGGAAAACGCTAGGGTGGTATTTAAATTATCGTCGATTAGTTTTTTCAAAATAATCTCACACACTCGAAGAGTGTTTTAAATTGAACTTAAATGTATTTTATAACTATCGAAGCTACTATACTATTCTTTCATCTCGCGCGGCCGGTGCTGGGACCCTCAAAGATGGAGGATCATCATTTCTCATCTGATTTAGGATTGAAATTAGTCCAATAATAACATCCTAAATTGTTTTCAATCATTATCTCCTAATAATTAACTACTTTTGAATTCTTCGTAAACTCCCCCAAAAAATTAAGAGCATCTTCACTCATGGTCTTAAAATAAATGATTATTCTATGACACATCATTGACACATCATATTTATTAAATAAATTTTAAATAATCTCAAATCTTAAAACTCTCCATCAACCATGATATTCAAATAATTAGTTTTTCTAGACCATGCATTAAATGAAATTTAACTACAACCTAAAATAATCCGGGATTCAAATCCTGATACCGGATTATCTTTTTCAATAATCTCTCTAAATAATCTCTCACTCACAATGATAATCTTTAAAATAATCTCACACATCATCCAATTAAACTCTAAATAATCTAAACAATGCATGGGGATGCCCTAAGAGAGTTCTTCATTAACCAATTATTAGCTCTAACTTTACAAATAGAATCAAATAATCCGAATGAATTCACATCTTGATCATAGATTATTCAAGTAATCCACCAAATAATCATTTTCGTAAATAGTTAATGAGCCACCTCACCAATATCATTATCATCATCAACCCGTAATAATCAGTATTACCGCCCATCTCGGCCGAGCATATTCCGTAGGCTGAAACGTGGCGCCTTAGCTTGATTGAGGAGATGAATTGTCAAGACGCCAGACGTCGGTCCATATATAGAAGCTGAACCTAGCCACTGTGCTGTGAGAAAGAGGACATAAATTAAATCACTGTGTGATTAGAAAATAATCCGATCCACCGATTGGATGACCCGCTAAATTCAACAATTTGATAGTTTTGCCGTTGCGAAAAAGCTAAAAAAATG